TTATTTTGAAAGTTAAGGGGTTCTTTAGGCTAAACGGCACTTAAATACCTTATAATTTCACACTATTAGCATTTATATACCCTCAGTTGTATTTCGTAGCATTTATATACCCTGAGTTGGTCAAAGTTAGCATATTGATACCCTATGTTTTGCAAATGTGATAATTTTTATTCAAAAGTTCCCATCTAATATTTATATGATATTCTTATCAATCGTTATTTCTCTATTAATTTTGTTGAATTCTATGTTAATTAAATCTTTTAAAATTCTATTTTTGAAATAGGATTGTGACGCATTTAAAATTAGAATTTGGGTTGGTTTAATAGTAATTTAATAAATATTGATGGTTAGAAAGCTCCAAAGTTAACATATGAATGTTACATTGGAACTTTCAAATAAAAATTTTCACGTTTGCAAAAATGTAAGGTACTAAAGTAACAATTTTAACCAACTAAGGGTTTATAAATGCTACAAAGTACAGCCGAGGGTATATAAGTGCTAAAGGAGTGAAACTGTAAGGTATTTAAGTGCTATTTAGCCTTTTATTTTATAATCATCCAAAGTTAACGGAGGTTTTATGATATTTAGCCTAAAACTAAAGGGTTAATCGCACAAACACCTTTGTGTTGCTGCGTTGTAACGCTTATTACTCCTTAAATTTGATATCGGCAAATAGATGGACCATTGCAACTGAACATCATTAAAGATTTGTGACAAATAAACCCGATGTACGTACCATCACACTTCCTCGCCATCCCACTTTGCCTTCGTCATAAACGATGTAGGAAACAACACGTACACCATCCAACAGGGAGCAGCTAGCGGAGGGTGACATTGGAGTTCACTTTCAGTTTCAAAGAGTCTATATATTCGCCAATAGGGAGGACACAATAATAGATGGGAAATTAATAAGTGGCACAGCAAGAGTACATGAATTTCATCAAAAAAAAAAAAAAAAAATCGAGGTAACATGAATTGCATCAGTTTGTCATCTAGACAAGATACATAAATCTCCTGCAATCTATCATCAATTTGTAGTCTACTCCATTTTCCTACCAGTCTCTACTCTCAAATCAATATTGTAATGCGCTTAAGGATAAGACCTATTAGTCTGATCAGCTGATTCACTAGCTGGCTTCAAACTTCTGCAAAAAAAATCCTGGCCTCAAACATCTTAAGCGGTTAATTCTTATTTTACTAGCTTGGGGATGACTATTGTGGAGTATATTAACTAAACTAGCTATAGCTGAATCATCCGTAATAGAAATAATTAAAATACACCTTGAGTTTGGAACCCACATTTCGGTTCCGAGACACTTAACTTGGATTAGAGTGCAAATGGGTCCCTTACTCGAAGAAAAACCAGCCTAGGACAAGTAGAATAGAATACAGGACAGTGGTAACTAATTTTGACTGTTACTGCTGCTCTCCTTTTGTCTTACGAGCATCTTCTTTTGTCTTTTGATGTCAATAAGAGGTCAAGTTAAGAATTGATCTGCAGTAACAGTAACAACAGTGAGAATTACCGTGCAAAGCTATTAGAGACTATTACCATCTTAGTTAGCAAAGCATTGAACCGGATTTGAATTTACCAACGCGCGTTTGGTTGCGTGCAGATCCTTTCAGAAGAACAAAAAATTAATACGCGTACATATTTCCCCCCTTTCTTTCTGGGCAAGCCCAATCAATTTCAGAACGTACTTAGTTTAACTGTTCAACAAATTAAAGCCCAACACACGCATCACATCTTAATCGTTCATCATTTTGTTACGTAGCGAGTAGCAACGCGTTAGCATCAAGTAACAAATTGAGAAGTGAGCTAACGTACCTGAGTTGATAATAAAAGAACCCGCTCAATTTAACTTCTATGATAAAGAAATAATAACAGTTCCAGGGCAAAAACATTAGGGGTACACATTATTAATGAGCCCAAGCTAGTAAATCAGATCAAACCAACTATAGAGACAAGGATCAATTTTACAAGGCAACAATTCACAACACGTAAATGTTTCTTTGGAGAAGTCTGTAATACAGGGATTTAGCGGTGTGGACTGCAATGGGACTTCGTACTCGAAGAAGTGTTCTTCGGTGACGAGGGTGAAAACATGGTGCATTTTACAACTTACAACGGCAGGCAACAAATACATAGTAGTATAGACCACTTACAACATTAGACAACAAATATGGACCGCTTACAACATCAGACAACAAATGTAGATCACAAACAAATAAAGATTTTCAGTAGTCTCAGAGGATGTCAGGACCAGAAGGAACGGTTCTTGATAGCATACTTACTGCCACCCTCTAGACCTTCCTTATATACAAGGGTCCATTTCTCAAAGGTGCAATTGACGAAGTCATAGTATCCACCATGAAGAGATAGTGTCCCTTCGGTCACTCTCTTCTCTATCCACGGATATGTCAGCAAGTTCAGCAGCGAACCATTAATTGATTCCTGCAAAAGAGTCCATATAAATGAGATTTTTCATACTGGATATTCACTTCTGCAGATAAACCTGAATCTAAATTATCAGAAATGTCTGTCATAGAGAATCTAAAAGTTAGTTGCTGGCACATAGCAAGGAAATGATCTCAACTTTTCTGAGCCCTGCCTCTTTTACTTATACATAGCTGGATTATCTGTCCTTGACACATCCCTTTGCTATTAGATTATTTAAGTTAGATGGTTAGGGTGAGTGGTACATGACATTAGCAAAACATGACTAACATGTTAAATAAGAGAAGGGAATAATCTACCTTAAGGGGTAGACATGCCCATACATCACAGATCTTTATTTATATATAGCTGGAAATTGTTCCTTGAGAACCAATAGAGCTGATAACATGCATTTAGGCATGGAAACAGAAGAGTTGTTGTTGTTTACATTAACATGCACAATAATTTGATTAAGGAATGCATCTTACAGCAAGAAACCAAAAGAACCATTATACTGATTATGAATCATGTTCCTTCTCTGTTGTTAAATAGTAAAAAGATAATAAATTAGCAATGCAGGGCTAGCTGCTAACATAAAGTACAAGAACAGAAATAAGCTTTGCTGAGGAAAATACCAGTTTCTTTTGCAGAGGTGTCAAAGGTATACCTTCTCACAATGTGTACATTGCTTTTCGAAGCTCATGTTTCCAGCAGCTGCTTGCGTACTTAACCTTGCACTCTTGGCAATAGAAACCCAATCTCTGATGAAACTTCTAGCATATGCAGATAAATCGAAATAAGCAATAAACACATATGTATAAAGGCTAACTTCAGAATGAAAAAAGAAACTAATGCAGGACAATTGTGGACCCTCTATGTAATGTGATTATGATTTATTAGAATCTTTTCTTTTTTGGTAGGATTTTATTTTATTCTATGTAATCTTCTTTTTAGTTGAGATTTCTTTAGGATTTGATTTTGAAATCTCTTTCTATTTTTAGCTAGGATATTATTTGATTGCATCTTTTAGTTTTGTTAGGTTTTGATTTGATTAGGGTTTTTATTTACTTCCTTAAGTGTTTAGTTGCTTTCTTATCCTTTAAATAAGAGATGTAATCCTCCATGAGGAATAGACATTGATGACTAAAAAAATTAAGTTTGAGAATTCTCTTTTGAACATGTGAAGTGTTCTTTAGCATGTGATTTGCCTTTTATTAGGGTGTGAAGCCTCTAGGTGTGAGGCCTAGCTATTTAGCTAAAATTTCTCCACTTTCAATCCTGGCCATCTGATCTCAGTCACAAGTCAAAAAAAAGTTAATGTTCACGGATGAACAGTGTCCGCGGCAGCCTCGAGATCTGACACCATTCACCTTCGATGATGCCACAATCATTCGATTCCGATTGCGTACCCCAATGACGTCCCCTTCTTGAGTATCACCATCGCCAGCTCTCCTCCGATCGTCCCTTAATGAGTTATGATCCCTCGCCGCCAAGGTCTTACAACACGGCTCTGAAAATTTATCGATGACTGAAAAATCTACCATCTCCCCCTTTTAGATCACGTTCAGATTCGAGCACCCACCAAAATTCACAGTATCGAGAATCTCGTTCCTTCCCATCGGATCCGGGTTGGCACCGAATGCAACATATTCGGAAGCCATCTACTTTCAGATCGGAGCTCCGACCCCGACCATCATCATTTGGTATCAGAGTCGAATGATCCACAGCTATAAAGGGTAAAATACCGCTACCTCCTTCACAAGGGTATGATTTTAATCCACTTATATTTGGTACCCTAGCCTACTTTTATGAATTTGATGGATATGAGGAGCCTTATGAATATAACGTCTGGATTTTCAATATAAAAGATATATTTTCTATCTATGATATGTCAGAACTGGAAATGTATTTATATCCTGAGTGTAGGCTAAAGAGAGGCAAAATATTGATAGTATAGAAACCATTATCATTCAAACATCCGTTCGTGGCCAACTATGAAAGCTCTTTTGGAGAGGAAGTACTCTAGTCCACCATCTAGAAAATATTGGTTCTCTTCAAATTCTGAAGCAAAGACAACATAAATTCCTCAACCCCAGTCAGATATGGATCTTCAATCAAAATTTAATTTCAATCCAAATCCGAAGCCTTAACTTGAGTAAGACGAGTAAGCAGAGCAAGATCAAAAATTTAATCAAGAAACAAAGCCCGAGTCAAGAGCGAGCCTAAAGTACAGCCGCAAGAAGCAAATCAAGAGATGGATCCAGAGCCCAAGCTTAAACAAAAGTTAGAACAAAAAACAAGGCAACAGGTCGATCTAATGCTCGAGCTTGAATCAAACCCAAAGCTCAAGTCAAGCCTAGAATCCGAACTTAAATTCGATATGCGATGCAAATCTCAAGATAATCTAGTTATTGAGTTTGTTATTCTAGACCCTCCATCACTAACTCAATATCGGATTTTACAACTCATCTTAAAAATCTTCCAATCTATGAAAGAACTCTTCTCATCAATTAAGTCAAACATTACGCTCTTTCATTACAAAATTCGAGGTCGAGTTTTCTCAAACAAGGGAATATTTGTTGCAGGACAATCATAGACCCTCCATGTAATGCAATTAGGATTTATTATAATCTTTCCTTTTTGGTAGAATTTAATTTTATTCTATGTAATCTTCTTTTTAGTTAGGATTTCTTTAGGATTTGATTTTAAAATCTCTTTCTATTTTAGCTAGGATTTTATTTGATTGCGTCTTTTAGTTTTGTTAGGTTTTGATTTGATTAGGATTTTTGTTTACTCCATTAAGTGTTTAATTGCTTTCTTATCCTTTAAATGAAAAATGTAATCTTCCATAAGGAATAGACATTGATGAATAAAAAATTTGAGTTTGAGAATTCTCTCTTAAATATGTGAGGTGTTCTTTGGCATGTGATTTATCTTTTATTAGGGTGTGAAGCCCTTAGGTGTGAGACCTAGCTATTTATCTAAAATTTCTCTACTTTTAATCCTAGCAATTTGATCTCAACCACAAGTCAAAAAAGTTACTGTTTACGGATGAATATTGTTCGCCGCAGCCTCGAGATCTGACACCATTCACCTCTGATGATGCCACAATCCTTCGAATCCAATTGCGTACCCTAACGACGTTCCCCACTTGAGTATCGTCATTGCCGACTCTCCTTTGATCGTCCCTTAATGAGCTATGATCCCTCGCCACCAAAGTCTTATAACATCACTCTGGAAAGTTATCGACGACTGAAAAATCTACAGTCTCCTCCTTCCAGACCACATTCAGATTCGAGCACCCGCCTAAATTCACAATATCGAGAATCTCGTGCTTTCCCATCGGATCCAAGTTGACGCCGAAGGCAACACATTCGATAGCCATCTACTTTCGATAGCCATCTACTTTCGGATCGGAGCTCGCTGTCCAACCTCCATCAGAAACTCCATTGCACAGAAGGCAGTTGTAGGTCTATATGGGAAACCTATTCCATTTTGGCTATGGAGTATTAATTCCTTCAGAGATAAATATAATTCCTCTCTTAATAAATTATATCATTTTGCTTCTTTGTCCAGTTACTGGGTAACATGGGGGGCCCCGGTTGCATGGGATTCAATGGCATGATCAAAAAAGTATGTCAAGCAATTGCCAGTAGCTTACGGAGCTTTAATGTACTGACCATTTCTTTTTAGTTGCATACACCAAGAATTACAAACCAATTTTTAGAGGCTAATTCCAGGGCACAGTCATCATTAAAACTAGCTCAATCCTTTCTTTTTTGAACCTTCCTTGAGTTTGAGCCAGGCTCAATATTTAGTCCCATTTTGATGAAAATTGTTTAGAAAGTAATAATAAAGATAATGAGTAATGTTTACCTGGAATCACCCTCATCTTCCATGCTCATAAGCGCTCGAATACCCCCACAGCGGCTATGGCCAACCACTAACACATTAGCAACCTAAAAAGGCAACACATTCATCTTTCTCAGAAGACAAAAATGTATTTTGCCAAGTACCTAAAACAAAGAAGTTAAAGAAGTATGAAGGCATAGTCTCCAAAATCCATACCTCAAGAGAATTAACAGCAAATTCAAGCGCTGCACTAGTTTCTGACGCCCCATGCTGCAAGTAGACATAAAGCAATATAAAAAGCCTCTTTCAAATGCAGGCAATTTGATCAAAACTACAAGGACCAGTTAAGAAAATTACCTGAAATTTTGGAACTAAATTCGCTATGTTTCGAACAGTAAAGGCTTCTCCTGGCTGAAACCCTAGGACTCTCGAAGGACAAACCCTAGAGTCTGCACAAGAAATCACCATGAACTGCATTTAAAAACTGCAAGTTAGCGAACTATCGCCTGCTTCTTTATAGGACCATAAATGCAGATGAATATTTATTTATTGTCTACAAGGCATGGTGCATAGTCATGGAGGAAAATGAGAGAAGTAGGAAAAGGCTAACAAAAACAAAAAATAAAAAAAAAGAAAGAAAGAAAGAAAGAATGAGAGTCAAAATCCAAACTTTTTTTTGTCACCTTTGGTGCCTGGGCTTCAGCAAGGTTTTCATAGTGAACCCTGTTTTCCCTGCTCATACCATAGCTTTAATCAGCTGATAAACCAACCAAGTATCTATCAAGTAATATTATGAAAGAAACTGTTTTTACTTACACAAAGTTTTTCTTTTTGAAATTCAGGAACCTGCATTTCAGCTCCTCAAAAGGATCCTGACCACATTCGTTTTCATGTAACCTGTGCTTTTCATTATCTTCGAGCTTTCGAATTAGACCATAGGATTCTTTTGAAGACGCACTCACTGTAGAAGTTTCTTTCCTGCAAATAGATGTACAATTGCAACTTTCAAATACTCTCATCTAAAACCAGAAGGTATATAGGTTAGCAGTAAATTACATGGAACCATAATAAAAAGTACAACTGGAGATACAGCTCTTCTTAATCAACTAAGAACGAGATATGTGAAATGGCACATTAATCAAGTGACAAATACATTCTACATGCAGGTGCAGACTTACTGAAATCATACTGTATGGACCAAGTATGATCTTTTAGAGGCATGTGCATTCTTTTAGGTATTTAAGAAGTTAACATGGCTCCACATCCCATCAACAAAATGTAGAGTTCGGTGGTCACAGGTAGGAGCTTCCAGCTGCTATTATGGTGAAACCAAGTTAATCTTAATTGCTCTATCATCAGGTCAAGTCAGCTGAAGGACGTGTAGAATAGACAATGCTATGGCTCATATAATAAGAGATAAATGGCATCAAATCATGTCGAGTATATTAGGCAGTGTCCTAAATTATTAAAAAGTTGGATTGTTACCTAGATGCTAGAAAAGCTAGAGATACTATCGTAGGTTGCAGCACCAGTTAATCACAAAACACAATGATGTTTCTTCCTTTCGCCTCTTAAAGAAGCCTAATGGTACTCTGATGGTTTCAAGAAAACCAAGGCAACTGTTTCCTAAGACAACAAAAGTTTCGATGATACATACGTTAAGCGTGCTTGTATATTTTCAACATAAAGTTTCATTAACCACAAAGTATTAGAACTTCTTCAGGCAGCATGCACACTTCTATTTTGAAGGTACATGCTTTCAGAAAAATGTATTTGGCATGATACTATGTGTGCTTCTAAGAATTTGTTGCATATTAGTATGTCATATCTGTATTGGTATGTATGTGTATGTTTGTGCCCATGCAACATAGATGAAAATGAAAAGGTTGATGTTGGACACATAGTCCACTTGAGTGAGGAAGGAAAGACCATTACAACCTAAATAGCAGACATGGGTACGACATGGACATGGGACATGGCAATTCTTCAAAACATAAGACATAGCCAAAACATGATATTTAGAATATATATTATGATTCTATGATAATAATTATGATATCAAAAAAGAGATTTGATATACATGCATATATACACACATGTACATTAGAATCCAAACAATTACTGCTAATAATATAAAACGTATAATGATTACATATATGCTAATTCTTTGACCTATCATATGCTTTTATAAATTTTGCAAAAGGAATATAACCAGGCTCTTCAAGTTTACACAAAAATTAGACATATTTAAACTATCTATAGCACTTTCCACTATGGTCTATGGTGCACAAATGAAAATATATAGATATCTCAAACATTTTATAAGAATAAAGAAGTGTATGTAAACAGTTGGAAGTATAGGGCATATGTCCAAAAATTGCATGATGACTGTTTTAAATTAAATCATCTATTAATTATATAATTGAGAACATGTTTGGCTAAGTGTATGCACATAAGCAAGGAGGTGTCGCTGTCCGGTAAAGTTGTCGAAGTGTCAGACACAGATATGGCTTCATAATAGAAGTATCTATGTTACATTAATCCCGAATTCCCAATATGATTTTCCCATGAAGATGCAAAATAAGAATATTAGCAGTGTATACCTTTTGTTTAGCTAAAGCGCAAAATCTGTGTCTAATTGCTTTACTTACCCGGTTACCCCCTGCCATAACCAAACTTTCTTAACTACCGACGATGAGTGGGATAGACTTATAAGTTATAACAATAGTTCATGCAAGATTTGTTTAAGTTGTAGCTTCACCATTAGCAAATGATACTCTTATCTTAGCGTTAGCAAATGATACTCTTATCTTAGCGCTAATAGATACAAGATCATTGATCAATTCTAATTGCCAGGCTGGTTCAATTCCATTGTTGTTCCTCTGGTTACCTATCAAATTGAGGGTTTTTCCATTGTTGTTCCTCTGGTTACCTATGAAATTGAGGGTTTTTCCATTGTTGTTCCTCTGGTTACCTATCAAATCGAGGCTTTTAATTCGTTTGAGTCGCAACCTTTCCTATACTGAATTGATAGTAGCAAGGCTTTTTGTAAAAGATCATCTCTCCAGAGGAGGTTGATTGGCAGTCATGAATTCAGCACTTTCAGCTCTCCCTGTTTAGATAAATCATCCCAACACTCATTTTTAGAGTTTCTTAAGTGGGCAAGTACATAGACCAGTTTCCATTCGATTTCGAGTCTCCTCCTAGCCTAAACGATTTCAGATTTTTGACGTGATTGAGGATATCCAATATCAATTGTGACCAGCCAAAAGATTGGGATGATGGCGAAACCAATGAATCTTTAATGGAAGATTCATGTTCTAACAGAAATCAACCACAACTCATCCAGACCTGCAAAATTTTGGTCCACTCATTTTGATATGTTATGTATCTTCGCATTGCTCGTGTACCTCTTAGTATCACAGGCCATGTCCGCAACAATTTTCAAATTAAAGTTACTAAACCACCATAACCTATATGTTATTGTCAAATAACAACCATGAACTTTCAGATATTATCATAAAACAATCAAATACTTTTGTGATAGTATGACTTTTAGTTTCTCCTGATTTGGAAGTTTGTCGTAGTGTACTTCAATAAAAATAGTTTATGATACTTTTAGGCAAAACCACCATTAGGTCTGCTAGCTTTGTGAAATTTACCCATTTAACAACAATGGTTTTTATCTAGAGCCCCAAGCAACTGAGTACTAACGTGATGGCTTCTATAACAAAACTTTTGAAAACCATAATCAAGCAATCTTTTGAAAGAACACCTTTTCGAAAATCGTAAACAGATAATTGACCGCGCACACAAATGTTAAATTTCCAGGTTTAATAGGTTCAGCCAGTTCTTGTTTCTTGCAATTGATATCTTTTCATCGTGCAAGCGCAAACATATAACAATTAACATTACAGCATACGACTCTTGAAATGTTTATAATTCTTGCCATAAATTTAGAAATCCAATTCTCGGACAAAAAAAAATATTCAGAAAAACAAAATTAAATAAAAAACCCAAAAAAAAAAAAGTTTAGAAATTGGAGAAGAATCTTACTTGCGCAACCCAAACTTTATGAAATGAGGTTCAAGCCTCGTTGCCAAAATAAGCTGGGAACTTCCTATCTGATAAAAGAAAGCGAGGAAAAATAAATTAAAAATCAGGGGGCAAAAAAGAAAAAGAAAAAGAAAAAGGAAATTAGATCCTAGATTAAAGGAATCAAACCTTGAGAGATCCGAGTTGCCGCTGCTTTCCGAATTTGTCAACAGAGGCGGCAGATGCATTGAACGAATTCGATGGGGAGAGAGAAAAAGCCATTGGATCGAATTAGGGTTTGAGATTGGGATCGCACTCATTTAATAGAGAACAAGAACGGAGGCGAAGAAAACTAAAGAAAAACAGGGTTAAAAAAAAAAACAAAGAAGACGAGATATAGTTGAGGTATTAATGGTGCAACTCTATTCCGACTCCATAAAGGGACCCGTAGTACGAAACGTGCCACGTTAGCAATTGTAAAGCGAGGTCTCTTTCTTGGTCTCAGTAAATGGGGTTCAATAATTAATGGCGGATCTAACGAGAAAGCAAGAACTTTTTTTTTTTTGCCCTCCCAACTAATAATTTAAGCGGTTAATAAGTAATGGATTTCGTTACTAGTTGATTCTTTTCCCACAAACATGGACCGCTACAGATATATCGCCTTTAATTATTGCTGTTTCCATCAATTCTCAGCTACTTTTGACGACTCAAATCCCTGTCCGATTTATTTGCCGCACCAATTATAACTCTACTATTCTCACTTATATTGATATGATAACTTATACTGAGAAAACTAAGAAAAAGAATATATAAATAAATATAAAACATGACTTGTTTTCAGAATCGATGGTTGCGAATGAAAACATCTAAACGTATAAATAAATAAAAAAAATCACAGTACATATCTTATCAGCAAAACAATAGATGCAGTGAGGCATAACTTTCATTCTCACTAGCGGAACATGCTCTGTTACTAGCTCGCTAAATTATCAGATTGGTCTATTCTATTGATCCTAGGCAGCAACTTGGTATATTTTCTTACTTCGGTGACGACAAGGTATATAAATTGGAACATGACAATAAGACCTATTTTTGGGGCGGAGTAAAATTTCCAGCGAGATCACCTCTCATGACTATTGTGAACAAAGATATTAGCCATGCGAGAGAAAATATACCGATTTGGTAATTAAGCCATCGCTAGCCTATCTCTTGAAAGGGTGTTTAGCAAAATGAGAAGTTACATCATATCTATTTTTTTCCGTGCAAATAAAACATTAACCAACATCGTCATTTCATGTCTTTTTTCGTCCATCTTGCATCGGTAACCGGGAAACCAAATGATCGATGAGAAACACACCATGGGAGAGAAATCAAAGAGCTGCCTAGAGGGAGGAGTCACTCAGACAAAGTACTCAAAAGAGCCATGACCGATTACGTTCTATTTGGTCATCTAACCTGCACAAACAGAGAGCAACAGCTACTGTCAGATATAGCCATTAGCTTGACCTGAAACATCTGAACGATGAATCCGCTATCAGATCAACCAAGGAATCATATCGAAGTTCTACGTTTTTGCCACTGACATCAGAAAAATACCTCAAACACAAAAATGATGATTTTTCGGTTCAGATAAGTTGACGATAGTTGTAGCACAGCACAACTGACTAAGACGAACACAAATAAAGACCATTATGGAATAATAATATGAATAAAGAAGCGACCAAAAAGTAAACAGAAGATTTGTACGTTTAAAACACACACATTGTCTGTTCAAAATCTGTTCCAGATTTGAGTGATTAGCTACCAGAGTCGTGGATGTATCAATAGGCGCTGAAAAGTTTTAGGCTTAGAACCACACAAAGTTCAATGAAATTAGCAATTTTCAAGGATACATAATAACAGGCCTTTTCCAATTCTTGACAGGCCTAATACAAGGAAAAGCACAAATAACCGGGATACAACACCAAACTTGAAACTAAGATAGGGAGGAAAGCAACCTCAAACTATCTTTTTTCCCGCCCACTGCGTTGTTGCGGCTTTAGCCCATTGCATACTTCTGGGTCCAGCTCCTCGCTGTAGTCTCATACTTGTTCCTATCAGTCTTATACATGTGAGCAATCTCAGGAACCAGCGGGTCATCTGGGTTTGGATCCGTCAAGAGAGAACAGATAGAGAGCAAAACCTGAGCACGATGCAAAAGAAAAACATAACACTATGAGAAGATATTTGTAAAAAAGAAATACATTGCCGGAACTGGTGGGAAACAAAATGGGTAAATTTCATGTAACCCCTATCCCCTATCTTTTGGCCCATTTTGAGATAACCCCCTGAATTGAAAACATGACGCCCTGCGAGCCACCCCTACGGCGCTGCACACAACCCACCACAGCATGGGACGCCAAGCAACCCGTGACCACAGTGGGAGTGGATCGGACGTGGAGACTGGAAACCCAAACCCTGAAGCAGGGATCGGACGGCGGGTGGTGTCCACCAGTTGTGTGGCACCCCAAAAAAAGCACACAGAAAACTCAAACAGTCACAATTTATTTTTAATTTTTCAACATACCACCCACGGGCGTAATAGGCGTTTTCTTAAACTTTATCAAAGCTCATGGCCAGGTGGGGTGGTTGTATTTATTTATTTATTTTTATTTGGTAGTGGTTTTTTTAAAGGAAAAGGGGGGGGGTGGGATTCTGAATAATGTTGTGAAATTTTGGGTTTTCTGAAAACAATGTTGAAAGATTGGGGGTTTTCTTAAAATAATGTTTGAGAGTTTGGGGGGGCCAGGGGGATGTTGAAATATTGCACATGTCTGTGAGATGCCCAAAAGTTAGGGGATGTTTAGTGACATTTCCAAAGTTCAGCGAAGTTATCTCCAAATGGGCTTAAAGATAAAGGGGTTTTTGTGAAATTTTCCCAAACAAAATATAGTAAACTGGAGCAGCATGATAAAATGAACATCAATATTGCATGAAGATAAATGATAACCTTTGAAATGGTCAAGGCAGGACTCCATTGCTCCTTTAAAATGTCAAGACAAATGCTCCCGTTGCTATTGATATTAGGATGGAAGACCTTTGTCCTGAAGGCTACCTGCAACAGTCCACCGATACACAAGCATGAGGTGAATACATTACGAGGAGAATCAATTTGGTGCATCACAACAGTTTTTCACTAATCGCGTTGTACTCTATCAAAACCCCAGAACACATACTATATGCTAACTTCTGACCGAAATCCACCCAACAGAATTAGAAACCCACAATAAGCCAGATCTGAAATAAGAACAATTTAGTTTTCTAAATCAAAATACTTTGTCAACAATAGTAAAATCACAAAAACAACAATGATTCATTTAACTAAAAACTAGTTCCCATGCACAGAATTATCTCCCTCCATCCTCTGACACAAAGAGAAACGAGCATGTCTTTTGTAACACAGAGGGAGAACTAGGATAAGAACATCATTTCATTTTGCATAGATGAGGTTGAAAAGAGAAAGTATGGATTGGCACTTTACCATTTAGCAGTTGAGCGTCATCTTAGTCAACTGTCAGACACAAATTTAGTTAATCTTTTAAGTTTGGGGACTACTTGGAGCTATGAAAAATATTCACTAAAGATCCGATGAAACACTGTAATGACCACTGTAGAAATCAGTCTCTACTCTCCCACTTCATTTTTGAGTCCGTAACTTCTCGGTTTGGGGAATTGGCTAGAGTTTTTGTTGCTAGTTATGGTTTACCTTAATTAGAGGCCTACTTGATATTCTTTTACTTTAGTTATTAATCTTTATCATGGTTCCCAAACTAAACCTCCGTCGATCGGCGCCCTCTCCATCCTCCAACTTTTCACCTGCTCGTAAATAGAAAACATCATCAAATGCATCTAACTCCCTATTTTTGGGTTGTTGAATGCATTACTGAGCTCTAACTTTAAAAAACTATATTATGAAAACGGAACTGTTATTACATGACCTATTTCCCTCATGTCACCTAGGTATTTATACTTGTTTCTACTATATCCATGTTGGATTTTGGCAGTTATAAATGAGTTCCTTATCGAACCATACCAGTATCAGTGATTAGAAAACATATATGGATATGATAAATGTCATATATAATCCTTGTTCGCTCCATTCTCTTCCCTATTTTAAAATGATGCGTAAAGTCCCATGAAAAGTGAGAGGAAACAACACAATTTAATGAAAATGCAGAAATGGATGAACAAATCTTTCTTTAATTTAATGTAGTGTCTATTTCATCATCTATTTTCTACTAAGTGCTAACAATTCAAACTGTTATAGACACAGCAACAACAATAAAGATATCGGATATACATACATGGTGTCTTTGGCAAAAACCATGACCCCTGAGAGAGTGGCCTTTTACCTATTGGGTCTCCATTGTGGCTGAGCTGAATCCTAACCTAAGTATGTTGAAACAAGACACCTTATGACCTTTCTTACTAAATCATAAGGGATTTCAAAGCAATAACAGATCTCTGGACTGCAAGTGTGAATCCAACACATCTTTGCTTTAGACAATTAAACCTAAAAATCTAAGAGATACATAGATAGAAGCACCAGTTAATAATTCTTTAAAAAAGAAATGGGAGGAGCAATACATGACATAGAATATAGATAAATAAACAGTCTGTGCAGAGATACACCTAACAACATGATAAGAAATGATTGATGAGGTTTCATGAAGAAAAATGCTTATTAATATTGATAACTGTTCAGTGGGCATGATCTACTCAACTAGGCAGCAAGTGGCAAAGCTAGAATTAAGACAAGGGAATACCTAACCAATCAGCTCCTTATTGTTTTTCATCATGAATGGAGTTTGTAGTCAGTAGAGGATACTTTGCTGCAAAGAGATCTAAAAGAAGAAGAAAACCATGTGGCACATATATCTTTGCTAGAAGATTCCTATCTTCAGCGGTGCATCCAGAAAAATTTTCTCCATGGTTTTTTTTTTTTGTTTTTTTAGGGGGGGGGGGGGGGGGGGTTTTTTGGTACACCTTTTTTTATAAGACCATCAGCCTATCATAAACCATAAGAATCAAAATACATCAAAAGCCCCTCTTGGCGTGTATGACTCATACAAGACCAAGAGTGCGACAAAAGAAGTGAGACATATCTCAACTTTACGAAAAGAAAATCAATAGATGAGCCACACAAGCTCCTAAATAGGGCATAATTAGATACGAAAATCCAAAATTAGTGACAACGAGAGTAGTATGGTACGCCTTATAAGCTCCTGAGCCCATTTGACTTAGATTGTTGATAAGTCAAATGGACTTTTAATTTCCAATGGGCTAATTTAATTTTCTATTAATTTATTTAGCATTTCTTAGATAGCTTGGATGCAATTTTAACACTTTACTTTGTTGGGTTTTTTTTTTTTGGGGGGGGTGGGGGGGCTTATATGCAATTTACAAAATGTTAGGGGTGCAACTACAACCCTATAACCTATTTAAATACTATTGTTAAGATATTTTTTTGATAGTCTTATTTGTATTGAGTGTATAACAAGTGTTTCAGTGTTTGTATCCATTTCATGAGGATTTTGTTAAAAGCTTGCCAATGAACGGTGGGCCACTATGTCCTCATCATTTTCTTAGAAAGGATTTTGAAAAAAAAGAAACATGTAGGGATCTATGTCTAAATTGTTAAATAAGAGTAAAACAAGGACAACCTAAAAGATGTCTAGTACTCCATGAAAAGTAACAGATTTAGTAGCTTGTAAGAATGTTTAGAAGGGTCACAAAAGTAGGGATTTTTGCTTATAAGCCCTTCAAAATTGACATTTTACTATATCGCTCATAAAAATGAAGTGCATATACATATCCTTCAATTTTTAATTTGCATCTATACCTTTACTCTTATTACTATGGTTCTCTGCTGAATGCAAACACCATTGGTCAGAGCCATTTCATGACTGCCGGCCAACCATGAGTATCATATGCTAAAGTCAAAATATGGTTACATGTTGGTCACGAAGGTTGTTGATAAGAGTTGTTTCATGACAGCATGCCAGTCACGAGGACTATAGGTCAAAGCCGTTAAATAATAGGTCTATTTTTTATCTGTATCTTTTATTTCTGGCTTCTTGTTTAGGTTAGAGACTCAGAGCAATTCATGACTTCAGGCCAAACATGAGTATCATTTACCAAAGTCAAAATATGGTTGCATGTTTGTCACAAAGGTTTGTAAATAAGAGTTGTTACATAACAGTATGCTGATCACGAGGACTATAGGTCAAAACCGTTATTATAATAGGTCTATTGTTTATATCTAGGTTCTATTTCTGGCTTCTCATTTTAGGTTAGAAACTCCAAAGTCCACCATCCCTTAAAAAGGAAAAAGAGAAGCTCACTTTTTCCAGTTAGAGATTCAAGAGGGAGACACCAACAGAGAGGGGGAGAAAGAGAAGGAGAAAGGGAAGACCGAAAGAGATAGCATAGGTTTGTGTTGGCGCATGCGCCACACTTTTGTTGGTGGCTCTCAGATGATCGTGCTCTTCTTTTTCTTTTCCTTTGGTTGGTGAAGCTTGTGTGCTTTTCCCCCTTCTCATGAAATTTTCTCTCAATTGGGTCCTCTCTTGTTTTCTTTGTTGATTCCTCTTATATTAGAAAGGTGGTTGAAAAATCAAATTGTAGAGATAGAATCCACCTTGGAATAAAAAAGGAATGAATTTTTAAATTCAATCCATCATCTCAGTACAAGTATGATTTTTACGAAACAATCGCAAATAAAATTGCTCAGTTTCAAATGAGTGCTTACAAATTCATTGAATTTGGATATGTATTAGATGGTTTCTACGACATGATGAGATTGTTCGAGTCATTAAAATATCTACCTTATCTCATCATGATAAACTCAATTTAAATCTTTATTTTAAAAAAAAATTGTCAACAACATTACAACCTTCATGTTTCTAAATTATTCCAAAATAAGCCAGCAATATCAAGAACAAAGTAACTTAGCTTATTAGACCAATCAACAACACATTAACTACGGACAGTACTGAAGATGTTTCCAAAATAGTGTAATATACGTGAAGCATCATAGAAAAGCATAACAACATGTACAGAGAGTATAAAATATAAACATCAAAATGCACAAAGTTTTTACATGTTCAGGCAAACAAATCAATCATAAATGCAACGTTTTTCTACAAACTTCATTGTCATCAGCTACTGATTCCCATGGCAAAAGTTCTGAGTGTTATTCTTTGTTTTCTCTTTTCTTATCTTACGAGGAAATTTTAACTTGAGAATCAAATTTACAACTTTACATTTGGTTATTAATTATTTGCAAAATTGAAGCTACACGTGTAAATTAAGTTGGAAGAAGAAAAAAGAACACTGATTATTACATGAATCAGTAAATGATAATACCTTAGGTGGTTTGAATGGATAGTCTGGAGGGAAATGGATAGTAACTAGAAAAACTCCTCCTGCATAAGGACTGTCTGGGGGACCCATTATAGTTGCTTGCCAGTGAAACATGTCTTCAGCCACAGGACCTAAAGAAAGACAAATTGTACAGAGTTGAACTGATTGAATTTTTAATATGGATGACATATATTGAATTTGAGCAAGGAATATTTGGTGGAAGGTTTTCATTAGAAATCTTTATTGAAGTAACCAAATATACATCTACTAATGTATCCTTAAACCATGTAGGAAAATTAATTATTAATTCTAGTGCTGGAGAAATTAAATAAAAGATCTCATATTCGTCTTCTCGATGAACCATTCAGGTAGCTCAGCAGGGCAGAGCAAAGGACAACAGGGAAGAGCAGAAAATCCTTGTGTCAGTGATTTGATCCCCTTAGCAGGCTTTTAGTCCAAAGGAAATGTAGTGAAGAGCGAGCTGAATGAAATATAGAAACATGACCATATAATGAAATTTGGGGAGGATCCCGAATCTCTAGGGCAGGAAAGGGGAAGAAATTTAAATTATCTTATGGATAAGAATCAAATTTTATATAGTTAACTTTGACATCAGTTAATTAGATAAGTAATAGAAGGATCAGGATAACCAACCAATGGTGATATAAATAAGAGACCGTAGAACAAAAATATGAAGGAAAAGTAGAACTTCTCATCTTCTATTCTCTCCTCTTGCTATAAATGTTAGTCTCTAGTTTATAAGAAGTGAAGGCTTCAACTCTATTAGAACGGAGGGGAGATCATCTTGCCCAGATCGAATCAATGTGACTGAATTATTATGTTGGTGACAAATGTAAGTAATCTTATTGTTATCATGTGATGAAAATCAAAAGAACTTTTTGATTTATAAGATTGGTAAATTATCACCTTCCGCTGCCAAAACATTTAGCAAAGAATCATCAACAAATTTAAATAAACGTAAGAATAAATTAACCTCACAAAATAACTAGTCAAAATGCAGAATGTTGACATCTAGACACCAGCAATGCTACATTTGCAGACATTCAAAATCTCATACATAAGATTAGTTCGTACATTTCATATATCATAAAGTTAAACTCCATAAACTCTATCCAACAAATTATCATCATTTATCCTAAATATGTGCCTCCCGTAAAATCTTAGACCCCACACACCCTTCTGATTTTTCATGTCCGCTAAAAATAACTTCAACAAAACATAATAACAATCATAATAACAGCATGCGCATCCAGAACAAGAGCACAATAAGCACCCGTAAAAAAGATCCATCATTTAAATGTTAAAAGTATAAAATACTCTCGATTATACCCTCTTCTTATCCATCCGATTAGTGATTGAGCAATACTCACAAATGAAGGGGATATTGTTGGGCTAGTTTGGTTCGTAACCGGCCCATTAACTCCCAATCGTGCCATACATTCTAAAAACTTGTATATAAAATTAATTCATACAATCCACAGGTCACAATCTACCCCAACAGTTGTACTCAATAATCCAAATACTGTACCTCCAACAAGATCTCAGATCTCACAAATCCTTCTAAAATTTCATGAAATTAGACCAAATTAAATAAGAACGGGCATCTATATCATTAAAATAAACCACCACAGTCGCAGCAAAAGATCTTTAAAAGGGACAAAAGACAAATACGGATCCAGATCTAACAATTACAACAAGGCGTCGAGAAAAGATCGGATCGGAGATAGAAGTACCTGCGCTGCAAGAAGTGGGAGGATCCTTCTGCAGATCCTTCAGCTCCTTCAAGATGCGCTTCGAAGCCATGGCCGAAGATCCTGAAGAGGTGGAAACCCTAGATCGATCAGCGACGATCGAAGGACAGAGAGAAAAAATGAGAGAGAGAGAGAGAGAGAGAGAGAGAAGGGAAGATTTTTGTACCTGTGAAATTTATTGGATCCTGCTCTTCCTCTCTTAGAACGCGGTGAGGCGAGAAAACGGAGAAAGAGGAAAGCAGGCCGGACAAGGATTTTTATATTATCGGTGGGTCACGAAATGTTACTCTAATTAGGCTAATTATAGCACTTACGTACCTCGTGTTTATCTCACTTTGCACTTATATACCCTCTTTTGTTTTTAAAATTTTGCATTTTAGGTCATATGGGAGGTGGGTGAAAGACGCCATGCATTGTTTCTCAATTTTCTTCTTTTGTTGATGGTGTGAAAGAAAAAAAAAAAAACCCATCTTCTCAGGATCTTCTTATGGACCGTCGAATTTGCTAGATATGTTTTGTAAAGTGATTATGAACAACTTCTCCTTCACTGTAGGAATGGACATCCCTAATGATTTAGTAGGAAATGTGGCATTCGCACTTAATTGGAATGAAAAAAATAGAATTAAATACCAAATATGATATGATTGCTTATTAATTACTAGTACAAAAAAAATTTAAAAAAATTATTCTCACTTCATTATTTAATCGTACAAACATGAGAATATAAATAAGCATTTTATTCCTATACTAATTTCATTTCATTCATTTTTGCATTCTATTCTCACTCAGGGAGTGTTTGGCAATCTGAAAGTGAATTTAAAATATGTAAGTTACTTTTTTTTGCAAATGACTTTTACATCCATGTCAGCACGCAAGTAAAATACAATGTTTGTTTTAAAAATTAAATTATTATCGAAAGTGCAATATGAAGATGATGTGGCAAAATAAGATTAATTAGAAAATATAATTAAAATTATTTAATTAAATTAGTTACCTTTTTGTCACTTTCATGTGACTTCACCATTTTTTTAGGGGAAGTCAAAATTGCATTAAATCTTATGTGGCAACTTTCTTACATCTCACTTTCATAACCACTTACATGAAAACAAACACCTTAATTGTTAAATGAAAGTAACTTCCTCACTTTCATCTTTCACTTGCATGCAAACAAGCACCCCCTTAACCTGATTCCCACGTACGAAACGAGGTGTCAAATCTTTAGCACTATCAGTATCTGTAAAATATCTCACTCAACTAATAGAGAGAATATGTTTGCATGATCACTGTGAGTGTCATCCTTTGGTCTATTTGGAAAGAGAGAAACAAGTTAGGTTCGCCAAAAAAAACTTTTATAGTGACATTTATTATTCAAAATTCAACGCTACTTCTGAATTTTTGGCCCTCCCACCGACCACACAAAAATAGTTAGTTTTCATTCTGCATTATTTTGCTGTGACTTGTAAACACTGTCATCTTTGATAACATTTGTATTTCATTTCTATTTTCTTCTCTCGATAGAAAAGGTAAGGCCATTGTTTTGAAAGAAGAAGAAATATTAATAAGGGCAAGACTTGTGCAAACTGGTTTACTCCGAAAGTAGATCAAATAATTTGTAATTTTTAACAAGTTCTCCTTAGTAATAGCTTGCTTTTTATTTTGCTCATGTTGATTTTCATAATAGAATAGTTTCCTATTTGAGAGGATAGTCTTAGGGGGTGTTAGTCACCTAGAACTTTTTAAGTAGAACTGTGATAATTGGTAAAGTGAGATAATATTTTGACACTGGGATAATTTAGTGGAATAATGATGGGTAATTCTTAAAGTGGGATAATTTGGTAGGATAATTTGGTGGGATAATGATGGATAATATTATGAAGTTGCATAATTTGGTAGGATAATTTGGTGGGGGTAATGGTGGGTATAAATTACTATTGTTAATAATTGTATATTAAAAATAATATAATATTGATAAGAAAATTCTAGTAATAACTATAAAATATAATGCAATAAAGCATCACTATTCATCTTAAATAATAAAATAATTTACAAATAAATAAAAATCTAAATCCCTAGAGTGACTCGACTTCCATCATCCCACATGGCTTCTATCATCCCACATAGCATCTGTCATAGAATTTCTCCAAACTCCTATAGCTGCTCGTTGAGTCTGTAACTCGTCTTCTTTATCGAAGTTATCGTCTGCATCAGCAACATTTCGTGGAGCTTCTAGCAGAGGATCATAAATATCGAAGTTCAAATCTCATAACATCATAAAGAAAGAAAAATAAGCATTTTTCAGCCATTAACCATTTGGACCAATCCCATCATGATCGCTGAAACCAAATCAGCAAATAAATGAAATGTACACATGAATCATCCATGGCCGCTAAACATATGATCGACAGATGAACTATAAATATCCCAATCAATTTACTGAGCCGATTTAATAATAATAGATATCACCATTAACCATTCAACATCTAATCATCGAATCGCAATTTTTGGTTAGCTTGATTCCCACCCAAAAGTAACAAAAAAAGGGATTCAATCTTCTCTTCACGGATTAATATTTTTCACTTGGTGCTTCTAATACATGTGGAAGTCCTTTGAAGGCAAAGGCTGTGTTCGATATATCTACATATCATATCATCAAAAGTTAGTTAATATTTGTCAGCATCAAAATTATATCTTCATGACATCAGAATTTTTAAAATTGCGATGGAAGTTGAGGGTTATACTATTATATTCTAAAATGTCCTCAGCGCTTATTTTATGAACCGAAAACCTAGGCAAAAATAATGATATCTTTTTATTTAAATTGCACTTGAATAACCTAAAGTTTCCTGGTTTTCACTTATATGACAGCATTTATAAAATGTATCATTTAAATGACCCAAAGTTTATAAAACTTTCATATTAATGACCTAAACTTCAAAATATTACTATTTTGTTAGAAGATAATTAGAATATTCCCCTGTGAGTAGTCATGTGACAATATTGGCTCATTTATCCAACTACCCCTTCCTTGCATTCTTCATCTTTCTCCCCAAAATAGACCTAAATCTAATATTTTGACATAGTTAAATACAGGTAACTTGAAGCCAAGCTCAAGATCTTCAAGCTCAGCATCAAGTATTGAGAGGTTGATGAGAAAGTGGTAAGAACTTGTTATTCTTAGTCTACAACTCATCTTGAAATAGCTTGGACCAAGGAAAATTTTGGTCGTAGGTTCTTTAGCTGCCCCAATTAAAGAAGTGATTCTAAGTATAAATATGTTGAATGATTCAACAAAGCTTTCATTCCCCAAGCTTAAATTGTGATCAACAACTTGCAATATGAGAACAAGGAGCTTTGCTTTGATTTGAAGATTGGAAAATGGCAGAAACTGGATTTATTAGAGGAGAAATTGAGAGAGAAGAAGATGCAGTTGAAGGAAAGAGAGATGAAGTTGATGGTAATTGAAGACAATTTGAGAGAAAGAGAGAAAGAAATGAGAAGTTATGAGCAATATTTGAGAGAAAAGGAGGAAAAAATAAACTTGGACTTTATACAAGTAGAAGAACACTGTCCCCGTAACATTCTGTATATTTATGTGTAAAAAACAATTTAAAATACTAAAAAAATATTAAAAACTTAAGCAACAAGACCAAAATCCTTAAGAATAAGGGAAAAATGTGTCCAGGCCCCAAAAGTGGGAACTTCGTGTGACTAGCCCCCCTGTACTTTGCCCCATGTGGAATAGCCCCAAAAAATGGGCTTTAATGTTTTAAGCCCCCTCCACGTCAGCTTTATACTAAAAGCAGATGGTATTTTACAAAAAAACCGAAACTGCCCTTCTCTTTCTTCCCCAGACGAGTCCTGGAAGTCACTTCTCATTAATGCGATATGATGGGGAAAATGGAGGGAAATTTCCCCCTTTTTTTACTCCATCTAACTAGTTAGTTCTCCATTACTCCTCCTCCTCAGACCAAAATTCTCTCCATAACTCTCTCCATCATGAGCAATAACTAGTTAGTTCTCCATTACTCCTCCTCCTCAGATCAAAATGGCTGAAAAGGACATCATCTGCATTGTCTCTTTGCAGTATAAAGCGGTATTCTTGAAGATTAATTCTTCAACCACCATCTTGGATCTCAAGTTTGATGCGGCAGAGAGGTTAGATCTTCCATACGAGTCATTAATTTTGGCATACGAAGATCAAACAGTTGGAAGCTTAAAATTTCTCATTGAGAACGATGGTGATCTGACGTCTATGGTGGAGCATTGCCACAATCTTGGACTGAAAGAGGTTCACGTGCAAGCTTTTAAAGAAGGAGATGATTCTTCGAATAAACAGGAAAACGAGCAAGTCCGACAAGACATGTAGGTTAACTGTAAAAAAATTAGAACTAACTTGGTATAAATTAGAACTAACTTGGTATAAATTAGAACTAACTTGGTATAAATTAGAACTAACTTGGTATAAATTAGAACTAACTTGGTATAAAATGAGAACAAACTTGGTATAAAATAGAACTAACTTTGTATAAATTAGATCTAACATTGTATAAAATAGAACTAACTTGGTATAAATTAGGTTTATAACGTTGTAAAAAATAGAACTATCTTGGTATAAATTAGAGCTAACGTGGTATAAATTAGATATAACGTGGTATAAATTAGGTTTATAACGTGATATAAAATAGAACTAACACAAATTAGATATAACGTGGTATAAATTAGATCTAACGTGGTATAAATTAGGTTTATAACGTAGTAAAAAATAGATCTAACTTGGTATAAATTAGATCTAACGTGGTATAAATTAGGTTTATAACGTGGTATAAATTAGGTTTATAACGTGGTATAAATTAGGTTTATAACGTGGTATAAAATAGAACTAACTTGGTATAAATTAGAAATAACTTGGTATAAAATGAGATATAACGTGGTATAAATTAGGTTTATAACTTGGCATAAAATAGAACTAACATAAATTAGATATATAACGTGGTATAAATTAGATATAACGTGTAATAAAATAGAACTAACAAGCCATCACAAGCTACAGATTAGAACGAACACTGTGCAGAATAGAACTAACACTCTACAGATTAGAACTAACACTGTGCAGATTAGAACTAACACTCTACAGAATAGAACTAACACTGTGCAGATTAGAACTAACACTCTACAGAATAGAACTAACACTGTGCAGATTAGAACTAACACTCTACAGAACAGAAATAACTTGGTATAAATTAGAACTAACTTGGTATAAATTAGAACTAACTT